TAATAGTTCCGGACAGCGTGTCAACATTTCAAAATCAATCATGTATGTCTCTCCTAATGTGCGTCGAACCAAAGCAGCAACACTAGGCAGCAGAGCAGGCGTCCCCCTTACTTCAGACTTGGTCTCTACCTTGGAATACAAGCCATCAATGGGAGAGTAACCAAAGAAATATATTATGAACTTGCCTATCGGATCCAGAAAAAGCTAGCTCCCTGGAAAGCTCGACGCCTTTCTCTTGCAGCTATTCTAACAGTGGGAAGATCAATTTCGTCTACTATTCCTACATATCCTATGCATACAGAATTCCTTCTTGTGTCTACTTATAGTGCTTTGGATTGTTGCAACATGGATTTTATTTGGGGGGATACAGACGAGAAGAGGAGAATGCACTTAGTCTCTTGGGACAAGTTGAAGGAGCCAAAAGCTTAGGGAGCTGCAGGAATTTGATCAACACACCATGCCAACATCACAATGCTTGCAAAGACGGGCTAGAGAATGCCCCCAGAACCAAACACTCTCTGGGTCAAGGTTCTGAAAAGCAAGTATGCTAGGAGAAGACAGAATTTCAACATGTTTTGAATAGTAAAGGGAAGTTCCTTGACCTGGCGTAGCATTAACAAAGCTACTCCAATCCTGAAACAAGGATGCGCGTGGAACATCGTTTGGATCCAGAAAAGTGGGCTGGGATTTGGCCCAAATTTCGGCCCGTCCAGGAATTTAATCAATTCCCACGTTTGGATAGCTCTAAAAACATCCGGGATTTGGGCCACAGGGAATTTTAAATCCGGCCCAATCAGAAATTGGAAATAGCTACCCAACCCCAAGTATTTTGAATTCCGGCTTTAATTTATTTGCTTCTTCCCAGCGTGTCCCCACTATTGTTTTGTTATTCCTATTATACCCTTAACCATAATTTTCCAGACAGCACTCTCATTCTTCATCATTCGCGAGAAACCTCTCCCCTAACCTACCACCGTCGCGGTAGAAAAAAGTTCGCGATCTCGGCCTGAGGAGGACGCTCGACGGCTATTGGCGGTGACGGAAGCGAGGGTGAGCGAGCTTCTCCAACAGACACGTTTGCAGCGACAAGATACCAGGTTCGTCACCTCCTTATGGAGTCTGGTTGCGATTTCTAGGGTTTGCCGATTTCTAGGGTGTTGCCGATTGTGTTGCCGATTGTGTTGTCGGGCGAGCTTATCTGGGTTCTTATCAATCTTCTGTTTGTTTTTCTGGGTTCATGAATTTATGCTTCTTCTGTTTGTTTTTCTGGGTTCAACTGCAAAATCTCCTTGCAATTGTGTGATATCGAATTCGTATTCCCGTCCAAATCTTGGTCGTGGTTTGGGTTACTTGATCTATGGTTTATGCCCTTGTACAATACCTAATTCGGAGAATAAGCAGCTGATTTTCGGTTTCTTCTTCACCGCCTCCATGGCTACTACGGTTGCTAGTTCTATTTCGTTGGTTTTTTCTTTAATTGTTGGCAATTCTTCTTCACCGCCTCCATGATCTGAGTATCTACCTCCAACCCATTCATGTTCATGACCATTAGCTTCCTTGCTTTACTTTCTCCAATGGGTTTTAATCTGTGACTGAAAGTTTTTGTTAATAGCTGATTTTGCTGCTTGCTCATCAACTCTTTTTTTTTTATATAAATGGGTTTCAGGGGTTTGGTTTATTGGGTAGTGGATTTGTGTTTCAGGGTTTAGGTTGGTTTCCATAGCCTCTTGAAATTATTGCCAACTTTGTAGGACAAGAGCTTCACTTCAGTTTGAAGACCCCCTGCTTCAGTTCTATTGCTCAGGGGATCCTTTCCACATCCTAGAATTCATTCCCATAGAATTTGTTGACCGGAATGACAAACAAGAGAAAGAAAATCATACTTGAGAATGATTTCAAACAACTTTCAGCACATTGTTACAGTTTTGCTTCCCTGTTAATTGAGTCTACTTGATTGAGTTTCTTTGAATGATGTGTTTTTTTATGCTTCGGGGTAGCTTTGCTTTGTATTCTCTTCCATTTGGGATGGTGGTCTGTGATTATGTTTCAGGCCTATTATTATTATCTTCAACTCGATGCATGTCTCATCTTTCTCTTTGAAAGTTCTCCATCTTGGCCATGACAACTCATATAGCACACTGTTATGGTTGTTTGCTTTAAGATGACCTTAATATATACCATTTGTTAATCTTGTTGGCCGTTTCTAGGGGTGGGAAAACGGTTGCGGTTTTGCGGTTAAACCGCAACCGCACCGAATAAGAGCGGTTTGTGGTTAACCGCAAACCGTTTAAAAGGGTCTTTATTCGGTAACAGTTAGTGAAATTGGCTCTTTTGCGGTTTGTGGACTAACCACACACCGCACCGAATAAGTAACTCCACCGAATAACTAACCGCGTAAGAGTATACCCAACCCAAGCCCAACCCATCCAACAGCCCAAAATGAATTTTCCAAGTGCATTTTCCGTATTAGAACTTAATGGGGATGGTTTCTTTTGGATGTTTAGAACTTAATTCTGTTTCTGACTTTTTCAGGTGCATTTTCCTTGTTTTAGTGTTAATTTATCAAGTGCATGTTGCTGGATTTTACAAGTTAATTCGGTTTTTGTTGTGGTTTTATTTCATTTCGCGGTTTTTTACATCGTTTAACTCTTAATCGCGGTGTGCGGTTTAAAGTGCAGTTAACCGCAATTAACCGCTAACCGTGATTTGCGGTTAGTGGTTAACCGCAAACCGTTTGCATTGCGGTAACGGTGGGTGGGTTTTCCCCTTGTGCGGTGGCGGTTAACCGCGCTTATTCGGTGCAGTTAACCGCAACCGCACCGTTTCCCACCCCTAGCCGTTTCTTTCTTTTATGGATTGGTTGCTGCATATTTTCTTACCTAAAAGGTCTACTGCAATTTGTCTGTTTGCTGCAAATTTATGATGCTGCAGATTTTCAAACTATGTGCTTGAATTGATATCGGAATTCAAACTCCCTTCTAGTGGGATGTCACATCATCTGCTATCTGTTGCTTTTGTTGTTTCCTGCTACTATGGTTGTTTCAGTTTATTCTATCAGCATCTTATTATTGTTGTTTTTACCTGCCCTTATAAGGATGGCTCGTCTGTCAAGCATGTCTTCATCAGAAAGGCGAAAGATTATCGCAGCGATTAGCGCATTTTGGAATCTGTTAGTTATGTATATCGATTTGGGAATGGAACTAACAAGGCTCCTACATCTAAAGCACTTAAATCCCAGAATTGGTAGGCAGCCCATTGATGGGTACATTGTTAGACACTACGATAGGCAGAGGTTCCTCTACCGATGTACGCAAAGTAGTGATACGGAAAGCCATAGGAAGATTAGAATGAACCGCAACCTATTCAAAACTCTATGTGAACTACTAGTTGCCGAAGGGGGTCTTACAAATACGAGAAATGTAGAAATAGAGGAAATGGTACTTACCTTCCTACTTACCCTTTCTCATAGCGATAAGAATAGGAGCATAGCTGTAGATCTTAGGAGGTCTACAGAGACCATATACCGGTCATTCCATCGTGTGTTGCGGGCAATTCTAAGGCTGAATAAGATGCTCATGAAGAAGCCCGAACCAATTCCAGCTGACTCAACCAACAATAGGTGGAAGTACTTTAAGGTTAGCAATTCAATGAACTCAATCTGAAAATCAAATTCAACTCACCAATTAAATTTCTTTGTCTAAAACCACTTATCCTTCATTGGCGTAGAATTGCTTAGGAGCACTTGATGGCACTCACATTGATGTCAGACCACTAAAGGAAGAACAAACAAAGTATCGAGATAGGAGTGGAAATCTGACAATAAATTGTCTGGGAGTGTGCACACCGAACTTGGAGTTCATTTACTGCCTCGCTGGTTGGGAAGGATCTGCACATGATGCACGTGTGTTGAGGGATGCTTTGAATAGGCCAAATGGACTTTTTGTGCCTCAAGGTAATAGGTGTACCTAATAGGTTAAGGTTCTTGTTCTAATCATTGAATTATGTCTAATGAGGGTTACTTCTTTTACTAGGATGTTACTATTTATGTGATCATGGTTATGCCAACAGTCCTGGGTTCTTGACCCCGATCCGGGGGCCAAGATACCATGTTGATGGACAACAACCTCTTCCTTTAACTGCTGAGGCATACTACAATTGGAGGCATGCACAAGCTAGGAACGTTATTGAACGAATTTTTGGCATCATGAAGATGAGATGGGCAATTCTTAGAGATGCAACTTGGTTTACTATACCGGTTGTCGCACGGATCGTTGTAGCCTGCTGTTTGCTCCATAATTTCATTAAAAGGGAACATGGTGCTGACATTTATGAAAGAACTTACCGAGATCAAGCAACTTCGAAACCCGAAGTTGTTGAAGTTGAACCTACTGGTATTTTTGGAACCCAACCGAATGAAGCATGGAATCAGTTTAGGAATGATATTATGGCCGAAATGTGGCAGAATAGGCCGGCCAGATTTAGGTCTCAGTAGGATGTAGTGTTCTTGTTTGTTTTGTAATGTTGCTGGTACTGTGTAATGATTCAGTTCTTTGTATTTTCTGATTTACTCTGTACTGTGATGATTCAGTTCCAAACTAATATTCCTTTCTTCTGCTCCTCCTGGAGTTGGGTTCCTTCTGGGTTCTTCTGTTCACGAATCTGGTTCTGGTTTTTTTTTTGTTGGTTTTTCTGCTCCCCTAGCCTACTACCTTAATTACTTGAAAATCACAGCCAACAGCTAGGAAGTGAGGTTTGTCTCTTTCTTTGAGGGTGAATGAGTTGAGCTCCCTCCCTTCTTTGTTAATTAGATTCATAATTAAATTGCTCTCTCTCTCTCATTCTCTCTCTCTATCTGAATATCATATACATGTAGCTAGCCTGCTAGCTTGATTCACTCACTCATTCATCATGTTTATTGCAATGTTGCTGGTACTGTGTAATGATTCACTTTTTAACTGTAGATATGTGACTACTGAATTGGCAACTGATATACAGTGAGCATGTCTTGTAGGATGCGGAGAAAGAGATGTGCTGGTGGAGATAAAGATGGAGCAACTTCCAGCAAGTACACATTTTGGCCTGAGAAGCTTGACAAGCCTTTAGTCGAGTACATTTTGGAGTTGATGGTGAAGGGGATCATTGTGGATGGCAACTGCAAAAACGGAGGATATGACGCTCTCGAGAAGATGTTGGAACAAAAGGTACCTGGCTGTGGGATGAGGGCAAAGCCCAATATTGAAGGACGATACAAGGGTTTGAAGAAAAAGTGGCATGCTATCACTTTTATGAGGAATCAAAGTGGATGGGGGTGGGATGAGGTCAATAAGTGCGTCATATGCCCTGATGAGAAGTGGGACGAGTTTGAAGAGGTATGTATACACCCTAGCCATGTTAGAATTTTGCCCCTTCTAGAATGTTTCTGTTGTTTTCTGGGTGGAGTGTGGGATTGTGTCAAGTTTCGGCTGTCATTATAAATCGATTGCCTACTGCTGATAATATGGTGGGTGGTGCTTTGGTTTTATTCATGAATCTGTGCTTGGCTTTGGTGGAAACTGACAAGCTTGATTGGCATTAGTAAAAAAGATAAACTATGTCAGAGAACCGAATTAGCAAAGTCCAGTTTACAGCGAGAATGGTTTAGTGAGTCTCTTAGATTAGCTTATTATAAACTTCATGAATGGTGGCATTGGATTAAACCCCTGATATCCAATTGGGGATGTGAATTGATACCTGTGATGTCCTATTTCTAGTGGGGGCTTTGATTGTTACACAGTAGATCGTTGCGGTTGGAGTCTCTTGTTTACGCTGTTTCGATCAATCGTTGATGTTTTGATCTTCTCGTGATGTTAGAGATACTAATGCAAGTTATGGTTCAAGGTTAGGTGATAGGATAACGTGTAAACCTCGAGAAGCTGGTAGTTCCGAAGAAATGATAGCTTCGGCTAGATTGTCAACTCTTTTATGCTACTGTTATGTGTGTCGAGAATTTGCTACTGCTGACTGCGAGTGAATTGTGGCATGTTACACCTAATCATTTTGGATCAATCTTTGGAGCTGCTTCAGGCCATGGACAATGTCCGTCTCTGACATCTATTGGCCTTGTTATATTTCAAGATTGCAATAAGATACTGCATCTTATCAAAACCTCCTCTAAGCTTAAATAGTGTAGGCATTTCACCTAGGAAGGCAATTTCTTTTCTCTTATGTTCCCTTTCTCACTTTTCTGGTTTGTCTTATCAGAAACATCCGAATTGCGGAGGTCTGAACAAGAAATCATTCCCGGTGTACGATGACTTGACTCCAGTGTTCGCCAAAGGACGTGCAAGCGGAGAGCATGTGTACGATATCGATCCCCTGGGTTGTGGAGGGGAACCAATCGAGGATGAGGGTACTCAAGCCGTCCCACTTAATGAAGCTGAGGAGGTTGTGATGGCTGAACTTAATGCAGAGCTGGAAGCACAGAAAATGCAGTCTGCAAGTGTTACAGCCTCGAGTGATGGGACAACAGGAAAGAAGAAGAAGAGGTCCCAATCTGTAGATGACAGGATTGACTTCGTTGTGGGTGAGATGAGTGAGCTTCGCCCAATGATCAAGCAGTCAATGGAAACCATCGCTAGAGCACTTGGTGAGAGCGACGACCTTATCGAGAAGAGAACCAATCTGCTGAAGACACTTGAGGAGGTTGAAGGGCTCACTAGAGCTGAGATATTAACAGCATTAAGGAAGCTTTCTAACAATGATAGGGATTTGATGATCTTCTATGGCTTGGAAGACAAAGCTGACAAGTTGATGTTCGTGACAGGGCTGCTTGGATGAAGTACATTTTGTTGAACAAAGAACTCGAAGAAGGCTGTTGTGTTTTGAGATTTTGCAGGAAGTTTTGAATGTCGGTTTACGTATGTTGAACAAAGAACTCGAACAGAAGGCTGTTGTGTTTTGAGATTTTGCAGGAAGTTTTGAATGTCGGTTTACGTATGTTGAAAAAAGAACTCGAACAAGGCTGTTGTGTTTTTTGGGATTTTGCAGGATTTTACATGGTTACATATGTTTTTTTTATCAGGTTAAACCCATAATTGAGTATGTTGCAGGGTTATGATTTTGTTAAATATGCTAAGGGGATATATCATGTTTGGTGTTTCCACGCCCAGGTCCATTAGCCTACAACAAAGATGGATTCTTTAGTCTTTGGAAGCTGGAAGAGGACCAGGACTTGGTGGGTGGGTATAGATGGGATTTGGATTATCAGTCCATGCGAGTTCTGTGTATATGTGGTTTGAATTATAGGTGGGTGGGTATAAAGGTACTTTTACAATTGCTTTCATAATTAAATTTCCTGCCTAATAAATCTCTCATTCCTAAACAAACAATATATTTAACCCAAATTCTGGTTTAAAATACCAGGTTTTTAATTTGAGTGATTGTGGACCAAATCTCTAATTAATTAAATTCTCAATCCAAACGACCCCTTAGGGTTTTCTTCTTGGGAGAGAAACCAGCTGATTGGGATTTTTTAAACAATACTCTTCATTTTTTCTTGTCTAGATGGCTCCAGGTCGCCTCTGCTTGCTGCTCATCCCAAGTAACTCGATTGATTCAATTAAAAAGCAGAGTTTGGTATTTGGTCCTCTCTCCCTATCTAGACGGCAAGAAAGCTACCATGATGGCCTGATTTCTTGGTAAGATTTGTATGGATTTCAACTCTCTTAATGCGTGGCAATTTTCTATGTTTTGCAGTGCAAAAATCATATCTTTGTTCAGAAAATAATTCAATACATCTTATTTTCTTGCTTCTTCTTCTTTTGTTTCCCGTTGAACTTGATGGGCAATAAGAGAATCGTGCGAACGCGGAAAGGGAAATCCAATGAGAGGAGAGACTGCTTCTGAATCCCTCTAGCACCTTGACGCAAGCGAGAAGACGGAAACGGAAAAGGTTATCCGAATTGCGGGAGAGGTTGGAGAAACGTGGTCCAAGAAAAACAGTCGCGCAACGAAAGGGAACAAAACCTCATCGTAAAAGGAGATGGCGGGTGACTGAAGGAAAGAAAGAAGAAAGTAACTGTGGTGTATGATAGAAACTAATCCCACGCTGGGCCGCAAATCAATGACTGTGAGCCAAGCAAAAATAACTCACAGCACAGAATAGCAAATCTCTAGAGCAATAGTAACCTGCTTCTCACTTTAATTATATTTAGGATATGCGCTAGGGTAAGTTGGAGGTGAGCCCGAGTGGTTAAGGGATTTAGGGTTTTAATTGGTCCAAGGTATTTTTGGACTTTACAATAATGGGTGAGTTTAATCTGAAACTCAATTAACGTCCATAATTTTCTCACTTCATGTCGAAACTCGACACCGCTGGAACCAATAGTTCACATTTTTAATCCTCATCGAAGATACGTCGGAACTTGACCCAGGGGTATAATAGTCATTTTGACTTTTGCGAATAGCGGGGTGTAACAACAACTTCATAACTGGAGGACAGATATGAGAGGAATCTAGTCTGCGGTGCTCAAAGAAACCCTCCCACCCTAGATTCTTCACCAAATCATGTACCTTAGGTGGAAACTGAGACATCGTATAGAACTCATACTCCTTCAAAATGCGGAGTTCGTCCTTGTAGGTATGGAAATCATTCAGAACATCAATAGAGCGACAGTAGTTGTTCGATCAAGGAAGCAGCCCTACCTTCTGGATATGATTAGAGGAACTGGTCATTTGAACTTTGTTTTTTGTCGTGGGAGAAAGAACGACGCTCAAGAAGAATTCGAATACAAAGGGAACAGACGAAGATGAATGCTTAGTAAATAAGCAAGACAACGTGGCAGCTTTTCTTAACTTCTTTGGGGAAAAAATTTATTTTTTTCCTTTTGAAGTGGTACGTCATGTCCACAGTTTTCCTTTTATTTTTTATATGTAATTTGAGAAGTAGCGTCAGTTATCAACTTCTTTTCGCCTGTCCTTCGTCTTGTAGCTACCTTGTAGGGCTATAGGTGTCATGGTGTAAGTTAGGGTAGACAGTAATAATGAAAAAATCCTTATGGAAGATCATGGTTTCATAGTGTGGTTACCGAACTAGAGTTAGTTAACACTTCTGGTCTACTTTCTCTGTTTTGTGTATTGTTAACCAAACATTGTGGCTCGCTTCACGAACATTGTGGCCTGCAGCATGGTATTTTTGGTATGGTATATTAGACTACTGGATTCCCCTGAAATATTTAGTCACTGGAAATGAACCAAACACTTGGGCCTATCCTCATTTGATAAGTAAATCGACTATCTGGTGGGCATTAAACTTTGGGGGCCTGTCTGACAAACATTCAGCAAACAGTATTGCTCCCATTAAATGAAGTGATGTGTTTCACTTCTTCCTCATCCATACGACGCAGTTTCACTATTGGCAAATGGCTCCTTCAAATTTCATTATGCTCGAGTATTGGCTTCAAATTTCATTTCATAACGCGCAACTATTGGTGTGAGCGTGTGGCCTTCCGAATCCTTTTCCCCATCGGAGAAGAATTGTCCAGTCATCCCACGCTATTAAGTAATTAAACAATGTCTTTTTTAAGCGTACGCCTCTCTCAACCATGGTGTTCAAATGGGTCATGGGTTAACCCACAAAAGCAATCCATGACAATGTATGAGTTCTGTGTAAATAGTAGGTCATCATTCATATGTTAATTATACATGCAATTTGGGGATTCCCTTAAATCAGAAAGTATGTAACCAGATATATGAACAAAGTCCGACCACTCTCGTTATCTTATTATACTACTATTCACGAAGTGATCACCAATTCGATTCTGAAACCTGATCTTAAAGTATCCTAAAGATTAAATGTTATTGAACATTTGCAGTTGCAATCAGTAAAATCAATAATTTTGAGAATCCATGAAACCAATGGATATGATAGAGAGGTCGTAATAAGGGTAACCAGTAATTTGGTTTACTAAGTTCAATCTACCCTTAATTTGTATTGATTTTATGGTTATACGTCAAGTGTTGAAAGACAATGTTTAGTTGCTTGAATGTCAGAAGTGTGCGGTTGGATAGTGGGTTAACCCACAAGTATTTACGAATTATAATAGAATAATATAATAATCATCTTTTATTTACTAAATTACTTATACATATGACATACCAAACACAAGAATTTATTTGAAAATGAATTCTACACGACAATTCATTTTATTTATGGGGATTTGAATATGACATACCAAACAAAAGATTTAATTTAACAATGAATTCTACACGGTAATTCATTTTACAATGAAATGAATTCTCGATTCATTTGGTACGAACAGGTCTGTAAGACCATCTACATCCACAACTTTTAGCAATAGCTAACGGTGAGGTGTAGCTAAGGTGGCAAAAACTTAGGAATGGCTAGGGATGGAAGAGTTCTTTCTAAACTAGCAAGATTGCTAAATTAACAATTCTTCTAGCAATGCCACATAGATATTTTTTTTATTTTCTTGCTTATTAACTTCATAATTGATAAGTGTTTGTGTATATTTGAAATAGTAAATGGGACTCACTTTGGCAATTGCTAATACATTTTAGTGATGTTGGTGAGTAGAAATTGCTAGGTAGATTGAATCTCTGAACCCCAGGAGCTAGCTAACTTGGTCTATAATTTCTTTTCAACTTTATATTTGCAGGATAATACTAGCTACATGGATAAAATGCCCAAAGGTGACTGCCCACAGCTCACCCACAACGAGCTCGCTAAACTTCTTCTACCATTCAACATTGGCGATATCCACAAGGCCATTCATGAGATGAAACCATTACAGGCTCACCCACAACGAGCTCGCTAAACTTCTTCGACCATTCAACATTGGCGATATCCACAAGGCCATTCAAGAGATGAAACCATTATAGGGAAATCTCGCACTAATATGGCTATAAATTTTTTCCAAACAGGTCAACTCCCTGAGTCGGATACACAATCAACGGTGGTCTTGATCCCCAAGGTTGAAATCCTGGAAGCCGTGAATCAACTCAGACCTATCTGCCTCAACGTGTGCTTGAAAGCAATCATTAAGGCCATCACGAACCGTCTCAAACCGATCATGCACAAGCTTGTGGCCCCAACTCAGAGTAGTTTCATTCCAGGGAGACAAACTATTGATAATATTATTGTGATGCAGGAAGTTCTCCACTCTCTTCGGAGGAAGAAAGGACAATGCCGAGGCCTCGTTGTTAAAATTGATCTTGAAAAAGCATATCAGATGCGGCGGTGGGAATTTCTCCGAGATACTCTTATTGAAGTGGACTTCCCAGCAGTTGGATTGGTCAAATTATGTATGTTGTGGAGCACAATAGTATGAGGCTTTGCTGGAATGGAGAGCTGTCCCCTCAAATCTTCCCCACCAGCGGAGTTCGTCAGGGAGATCCCCTCTCTCCCTACCTTTTTGTCTTGTGTACGGAACGGTTATCACGCCGAATTAATCAGGCCGTTGATGACACATACTGGAAACCCCCGAAACTCACTCTCGAGGGGCCAGTGTTGTCTCACATGTTTTTTGCAGATGATCTGATCATTTTTGCAGAGGCAAAACTAACTCAGATCGAAGTTATCAAAGGATCCTTAGAAGACTTTTGTAATAGTTCCGGACAGCGTGTCAACATTTCAAAATCAATCATGTATGTCTCTCCTAATGTGCGTCGAACCAAAGCAGCAACACTAGGCAGCAGAGCAGGCGTCCCCCTTACTTCAGACTTGGTCTCTACCTTGGAATACAAGCCATCAATGGGAGAGTAACCAAAGAAATATATTATGAACTTGCCTATCGGATCCAGAAAAAGCTAGCTCCCTGGAAAGCTCGACGCCTTTCTCTTGCAGCTATTCTAACAGTGGGAAGATCAATTTCGTCTACTATTCCTACATATCCTATGCATACAGAATTCCTTCTTGTGTCTACTTATAGTGCTTTGGATTGTTGCAACATGGATTTTATTTGGGGGGATACAGACGAGAAGAGGAGAATGCACTTAGTCTCTTGGGACAAGTTGAAGGAGCCAAAAGCTCAGGGAGCTGCAGGGATTTGATCAACACACCATGCCAACATCACAATGCTTGCAAAGAAGGGCTAGAGAATGCCCCCAGAACCAAACACTCTCTGGGTCAAGGTTCTGAAAAGCAAGTATGCTAGGAGAAGACAGAATTTCAACATGTTTTGAACAGTAAAGGGAAGTTCCTTGACCTGGCGTAGCATTAACAAAGCTACTCCAATCCTGAAACAAGGATGCGCGTGGAATATTCATAATGGAAAGAACACTAAGTTTTTACCGATCTTTAGGTTTTGCAGGTTCCTTTGCTGCAGGTGGCCATCAACCAAGTCCCTGATGCCCTACTTGATAATGTTGTTGCAGAAAAATGGATGAAAGCAAGTTTCGAGTCACTTCTGCCTCCCAATGCGACCAACAAAATCACTGCCTTGCCAGTTGATCCTCTTGCAACCACGACAGACAAGTTATTTTGGAGAGAGTCCTCTACTGGTCAGTTCTCCAGAAAATCAACATGTCAAATGGCTCATCCTTCACTAGCGCCTCCAGCTATCACCACACAATCACCTTGGAGAATTATATGGAAGCTTCTAGTTCCTGAACGAGTCCGAACCTTTGTGTAGGTTCTTTTTTAGACAAAATCAACACCCGACAACGGCTCCACTAGAAGCTACTGGTTTCAACACCATATGTCTTCGGTGTCCTGGAGTAATTGAAAATCGTCTACATATTTGTAGAGATTGTTCCACAGCAAAGTATTTCTGGAGGAAGGTCATTTCACAAGACCAACAAGCATGTTTCTTTGCCCAAGAAGATGGTCAATGGTTCTCGAGCAACATCGCCAGTACCGAGTCAGGCCCCCGCAACACCTCCTGGATCGCGTTCTTTGCTATCGCGGTTTGGTTGTTATGGAAGCAA